TATTAGTGCTTAACCATGGGCATAACTAAGGATGAAAATAATAGCTCTGATTTCAGAGAGGATATGTTTGAAACTGAGCATATGCAGTACTCAGTCTGGCATGGGCATGTGGGATGCTAAATCTTGTAGAACAACAAAAATGAACACACATTGTTTGGCAAGTGATTTCTCTTCTTAGTTCCTGAACCTGTGTTTTTGTAAAAGGAATAGAAATGAATTGAAAGGTGACAGTGGTGTAGTATCAGCAATTGCCAATGGCAGTGAGTGATGGTTACAAAAAGTGGACATCACTTTGCTTGTGACAGGAGTTAGAACTGCAGATCCACCGAAAACAGTTTGTTTATCACTGGGTTCAGTTGGACTAAGCACTAGGAACAAGATTTTAAATACTTGTATGCATTTGGTTCTGCCAGTAAGTATGCACATATAAGAAACTAAGATATGGGTTTTTTAAAAGAAGTGTAAGGCAGTAGTGAGTTCATTGTGCATTGGAAATCCTGGCCTAAAAAAAGGGGTTTAGCTGCTGTTAAGACCTTGCTTTGTCAATGAAGTTATTTGGAGCAGATTAGCACTTCTCAGAAAACGCTTACAGTTTCAAGGTCAACAACTAACTGGCTAATAGGGCTACATCAACTAACATAGTTAGAATTTATTCCATTATTTCAGAGAAGCTAAAAAAGTGGAATGGCTTAGTTTAAGGAAGAGAGAACCAAAGTGTAAGTTTCAAGTGAAAACAGAGAGTAAACAGAGGTGTAAAATGGGACAGTCCTTGCACCATCTTTTTGCAAGCATTTCTGACAATGGCTGAATAAGGTTCAGAACAAGAAGAACAAAACTCTCATTTGGCTTTTGCTTTAATGTAGTCCTAAGGAAACAGAGACTTGACATTTTGTTGTGCAACAATCACAGTAATGGTTAGTGCCTCCCAGCCTTATGGGTACTCACAGTTTCTAAAACAGGAACTGCAAAAGCCAAAGTCTTTTTCTTAGTGAAGAAAGCAGTAATGTTGGCTGTCGCCTTGGTGGAGGGTAGAGCAGACTTTTTGTCGCTTCACTTTAAGAGGAGATGTAAAATAAAAAAAAAAGAAACAACACAGAAGTTGGTTTATATTCCAGAAGATTCCAAATTGGACATAAAATTTGTGCTTAAAATAGGTTGATAATAAAAGATTCCTGGATTCTGTAGATAAAAATGGAGGCTGGAAGGAATGTCATCAGTTTATCAGTATCAACAGACTGAAGAAATATGTTTTCATCCTCTTCTTTTGCATTCACGCCTGATGATCAGCTTCTCAGTGTGGTTTATGATGGCAAGAATCAAGGTCATTCTGTCTTAGGCAAGGACCATTTTCTCCTTTGTGCTCCTTTTCAAGTCACTCACTGCAACTCTGTCATCATCACAGAAACAGTTTTGGCATGTAGTTAAGTCAATAGTTGAATTTGTTACTTCAAGAAAGAACAAAAAGTTGCTGGAAATGTGCAGAGTCTGTATGTAAGCAGTCAGAAAATGGACCTAATGTCACTGCTTCATTTGTAGCTATTCCCTCTTGAGTCCTCTGAGCCTTATCTTCTTGAGTATGAAAAGCAACTAATGGCTTTGAGTGCTTTAACAGACCATTGGCAGAACAGGAAGAGTTTGGGGGATACACACATTCGCAGGACATCTAATTCCGCAGCCCTTTGTGTTGCTATAAATGTTGAGCGACTTGAATGCAGGTAGAAAAGCTTGTCTAGATTTATATCCATGAAACAATAAGATTTGGTGCAGCCTGTAGATTATTTAGCTTCCTTTTGCCTGAATTCATTGCATCTCTTGGACCTCAGTTAATTGTAACATTGCTTAGAGTTACAAGGCTCTGTGATAACTCTGTACTTTTATCTTTGGACTAAGAAACATTGTTATGAATTATGCAGAAAAAAAAATGTCTGTCACTCCACCTACGTAGGACATTTCCTAGATATATGCAGATTTGTCTGTCAAATTACTCAGATTCCTGTTAAGCTGTGATAGCTTACTTCATTTGCTGCAGCCTGTGAATATGAAATGAAAGGGTCAAGCTGTGTTAGCTTTGACTTTTGCTTTCCTGACTTTTTTGACTTTGAGGTAAATGTTTAGTGCTTCTCAGTATATTATCTGAAGACTGTGAGAGATGTTCTCTTTAGCTTTCTTCCTATATTGAGTCTCCTTTACACTAACAATAACAAATATCTTTTTTACACTCACATAGCATTTTTCAGAGCAGCGCAAAATGCTGAATGGACCTCATATCACTTTAATTTGTCAGCCCTGGCTATATAGCTCCCTCATAGTTATCACGGATATTCTTACTCTGCTGTAAATGTATTTCGCAATAGTCCCTGAGCATGGCAGTAAAATTTATTGCTTGCCAGTAACTATGCACTGGCTCTCTAATATTGGAGAATATTTGATACAATTACCTATGGTTAATAGTACTTCTCTCTTCAAACAGTATTGCTGAAGTCAATGTATTACTCGCATGAACAAACACATCAAAATCACCCCCTATGCCTTTCTAATACAAACACATGGTTAATAATGACAAATTTGTATTCAACCGTGTTTCTGAGTTCTAGGCTGGATGGATACATTGCTTACACATAATCACACAGCAGTCTTGTGCACGCATATATAGTTAGCGTGATGCTGAAGAAAGGAAGAGTTTCTCATTTGACAGTACAACGAGATTGTGTTGATTTGATATCATAACAAGAAAGTCTATTACTGTCTATGACACTTCCTTTCTGCTTTTCTGAGGTCTCACAACTGATGTCAGTTGGACTCGATGATCTTAAGGGTCTTTTCCAACCTTGACGATTCTATGATTCTATGATTCTATGTCTCTCCTTCCTCGCCTGAAGCTGCTCCTCAAAGTTACATAGAGCTAAAAACCCCCACTGCCTTGTGCTCCCGTGGGTATTTCTGTTGGTTTAGAGTGACTGTAAAATGGAGTAAAAATCCAAATCACACCATAGCTGGAAAATCAGGCCCAGATTTTCTCAAGTAAAGGAAAGTAAATCTTGGTTCTCAAGAGTTAAACTGATGTTCATCAAAAATATCACCAGTAATTACTGTGTAGCAATTGACTGTTAAATTGAAATTCAGCCTAATATGGATTCTTGGTACTCTCTTTGTTTCTTCAGTAGATGAGTTTCACCTCTGATGAATACAGCATTAATCTGTGCTTCACCATAAATATAAAATTAATAAAATTTGTTCAAGGAAAAAATTAAAGATTAAGTTTTTTTATTTTTTTTTCAGGGACTTTTCCATGTAATACATGTAATAACCTACTAGCTCTCAAATAACAAATGTCCAGTAATCAGGCAAGACATTGCTTGGACTAAAGACACAAACAATATTATAGATTCAATTATATATCCAAAGTGATTTAGTGGATTAGCTGTTGTGTGCACACTTTGGCTGCAATGAAGTGTAGTCTTTAGCTATATATTTCATAAACTTGTGAGTATTCTAATTAATTTCACATAGAACTGAACAGAAACCAGAGTTTTCACTTTATGGACAAGTCTGCTACTTTGAAATGTATGAGTCCAATGGAAAATAAGCAGTATATACATTTCTCTGAAAGGAAAGCCATGGTAGAATGATGATTTAAAATCAATTGAAATATTTATTTTCTTCTAACAGCTTAAAAATTTTTTGAAAGGGCTAAAAAATGAAAGTGGCTCAAAGGGAAAGAGAACTGAATGTAACTTTTAAATAAATTTAAAAAAATGTATACAGAGGTAAAATGGTCATAGTATGTGCATCATCTTTTCTAATAGCAATAAGAATTTTCATATGAATAATCATATTGTTCCAATCTGTAATGAAATGTATTTTCCTTATCAAAATGTTTTTCTAATACTACGCCTATAAGATGAAAGTAATTTAATGATAGGTGTGCTATGAAATTTCTTGTATTCCCAGTTTTGGTTTTGATGACATGGCATTTGCTAGCAGAAAAATGATGCATCAGAACAAGCTAGGTTAGCTTCCATTATATATTTTAAGCTAGGTGGTGATCTCCTGCCTTACATTGGGCCCTCAGTGTAAACAGAAGTAACGCAGAAACCTTTAAACTTGTACACTTTGTTTTCCAGAGGATTTTTGGTCATTTACAATGTGTCAATTTTTTATCCTGTCCATCTCTCTATTGCCATTAAACAGTGGTCAACATCTGCACCTCCTGTATATTCATGTACCTTTACATAACTGTGAATTTTACTGTATTAATGTAGAAAATGAAGACTTATATCGTTTATAGGTTATGTATACAGTGCTGTACAAAATCTCCCAAACAAAATGTGTAGTATGCTAATTTCTACGTGACAGACAGTTGAGGCATTGCCATTTTAACGCTTGATTCAAAGCCAATCGTCAAGCAGCCAAAGATGACAAACCCACATTCTCTGACAAACCTATGGTCTTTCTAAAGCCTACACAATGGAGAAACAATCTGGTGTATCTAAGGTCTGCTTAGATTTAGAAGTCAAGTTCCTTATGAAAATAGAATTTATATTAAAAGTAGATTAATTTCACCAAATGTTAGAGATATAAAAGTTAGGTGACTGGTGTAAATTAACTTAGGAAGAAACAATTCTGGATGGGTGTTTTATTTAATTTATCATGCACAGCCATCTTAAAATGAGATGAGTCAGTCACTGACATGCCCCTCTCTCTCCACGCACACTACAGGGAAAGCTAAGCTTTGATTAGAGAGCTAGCCTGAGGTGGATAAAAACAGTAGATATAAAATCCACATATAGGAATTTAAGGCTTTTTGCTTCTTCTGCCCAGAAACTTATTCTTCAGCTTTTAGGAAGTAAGGAGATAGCAGGAGGAATAGAGCCAGAAAGAAAGAGGAATAAATGAGCACCACACTCTTCCTAGTCACAATTCCTGGTTACCTTGTTGAGTTAGCCTCCTTTTACATGCTGGTAAGCAATCAAAAGAAAGCTCAAAATGCTTTACCATACCTGATTGTGGACTTTGTTTGGGAATTTTGGCTGCTGCTTCAGGGCTGGAGGTGGCACGCACACGCTGATTGGCAGAGTTATGGATGCTACTTGGAACAGCTGCTGAGATGTTTTTGCGAGGTTTCATGTCTTGCAACCACATTGGAGATGCCTCAAAGGCTTGCATTCGCCGAGAGTGGCTGTTAGCATTGACTTTGAGAAATGCCTGGGCCTTGTATTCCTGAAGGTCTCCATAGTTGGCATCGGTCACCCTGCACTCATACAAGCCTTCATCCTTTTTCCTCACTTTTGAAATCTGCAGCTTGTGGGAGATGTCATTCCCTTGTACTTTCACTGTCTGCAAATTTGCCAGGAAAACAAACAAACAAACATGTTGTCAGGTATTATTCTTTCTCTGGGAAGGCTCTACCAATGTAGAGCCTGTTCAGAGAAGTCAAGTGCCAAATTAATCAGGGGTGTGATTGTGCTTACTGCAGGGAAATTGCATCAAGGATGAGTATGATTATTTGTATCTATAAGGACGTCTGACATCTTCTTTCCAAAACTGTTTAGATGGTTTGCTCTGAAATGCTAATTTGCCTCAGACAAACAACCCAAACAACCATGCTCATTCCAATTAATTGCTTAAGATCATGAACATTCTTAGTGAGCTTCCTTACATAAACCTCGTATCTGTGCACTTCACTGGTTAAACCTTTCCAGTTAGTTGGCTTTATTGAATAATTCAGTTTTTGAACTAGTACATTAACAATTTTGTTGGAGATGTTTGCCAATATTTGAACTTCTTTAATAACAATTTATTAGATTATGTTGTACTCTTCACTACATTGAAACTGCATATTTGACATTCAATTTGTCTCCTTCAGGCATGTCCAAACCTTTGGTATTTTTTGTTTATTAACCATAAGAAGACATCTTGTGTCGGGTAGTTCCTTTTGTCTCATATAACTGTGTACTTATTAGAAGTCATGTATCATTTCTGCAGCACATATTCAAGTAGCACATATTCAAGACAGTTTTAAAAGTTGTCAGCTAAAATAAGACTCCTGATTTGTTTTTAATTGCTTTTAATATCTGAGGGTAACATAATATATTTTTGTCTTACGTAATTAAAACACACATGAGTAAATTATGCAGAAATGTGTGATAGGTATTAAGATGCATTAGGAAAGGTAACAGATTCCTTTCTGTATGTTCATCACTTTAGAGAATTTGTATTTAATTAATTGTCTATTACTCTCTATCTGGATTAATATCTGTTGCCCCACAGGAAGCCAGTTAAAAGGGATGCAGTGGGACAGAAAACTTCAGCTTTGAAGAACTTCTGAACCTGGTTTACTTCCACCATTACATAAACACACTTGCAAATGTTGCTTTGTGTCATATCAATGACAGGCAATGAGGAAACATTAGGGTGATGAATATATGGTAGATCACAAAAATGGAGATTGGTTAGGTTGAAACTAGGCACGTTATTGGTGATTATACACCACATTGCTTCTGATAGCTTGGCATGCTGTAGTCACCAGTGTTGGCAAAGCTCCTATTCTGCCTGCTTGATAAATTGAAGAGCAATACTTGTGAATATATTATTGCTTTAAGGTACTGGATGGACTTTACAACCTGTTGTGTTGTATCCAGCTCTGAACTTATACTCGGCAAACTGAGTTGAAAGTATGGATTGCATACTTTCAGCCATAACATATGCAATATTAATTACACAGAAAGTGCTGGATAGTTATTTAAACCTTATTCAATAATAATATATCTCTACTGAACAGCTCATATTCAGCAAAAGGATTGAAGAAGTTTCAAATGAATGGAAAGAGGATCTGTAGGTCATATTCTGCCTTCATTTGCTCCTATGCAATATCTGCAAAGTTAACAGTGTTGCATAGCACTAATGAAAAACAGAATTTGTTTTGGGTTTTGCATTTGAAATTTAGAAATTGTTGCAGCCAGCATGTATGCATGTTTTCAATTTATGCCTGATTATCATTTCAAATCAATGGAACTGGTGTATTTCAGCACAGTTTAAAAACACATTTAGTATATTTTACCATTTCTTTAAAGAATTTACTAAATGCACTTAAAAGTTTGCTGTCCTCTTCATGAAGATACTTTCCAGTAGTACTAATGGAGACTCTGTGTGTGTCTTCGAGAAAGAAAAAAAGGAAGGCTACATTTGTAACAAGTGTATTTAGACTGTCAACCTAATGTTGACTTTTTTTTTTTATTGCAAATATAAAACTTTTTATGCAAGCTTATAAAACCACTGTATGAATACTCCATTGTGAATTAGTATCATACATAATGAGAGAAAAAGATTTTTAACTTGAAAGATGGGACAAGCTTTACAGCCTATACTGTGTCACAGATCTTAGGGATTACTATGGGGATTTTGAATGAGTCAGTATTGATAAGGAATAAATTGGCTGCTAGCACTATGTCTAGTGGAATAGTATACAAAGACCACATGTGGACCTCATTTGTAAGACAGTCTACAAATGTAACTGAAGATACGGTCCATGACACAAATCATTTATAGTGTATGGTGAGAAGTATCATAGGAAATGTAAGTATGGCTAGAATATGTATCATTTTAAATATAATGTACCTGAATTCTCCTTTATAAATGCCCTTCAGCTATACCTAGCTGCACTTTGACCTGATGTAATTACTTGGTTAGTTATCTGTAGGCATCAAAGAGCAGCACAGCAAAGGATTTAACAGAAATGATTCACCTCTATCTGTTGCTGTTTTAAGCTTTGCTGGTACTTAGAGCCTTGGCTGCAGCTAAAAAGCACTTCTGAAGGGATTGTGTCTTAGAAAGGGAAAACCCCTTTGGGCTCATAAGGAATACTCATTCTGCAGTATCTGCTAAGTATCTGTGTCTTTCCCCTGCAGTGAGCACCACACCATGACACCCCCACCATACATTTCTTGGGATGCTGAGGGAGGAGGGTCCGAACTCTTCCGAGGTCAGGGGCTGTGGCTGTGCCCGACTCAGGAAGGATATGGGTCTGCTGAGGATGCATCCTTTCCCTGGACAAGGGCTGGAGCAATGCTGCTCACAATTTTGTTGAGACAACATTCTGGTTTAATCTCCAAACGGCAGATCAGTAACTCTGGTGTCAGAACCCCACTTTCCTAAGACAGAGTCTCAGTGGCCAAGACTGGAGATCACTCCCAACAGAGAAGTCTTGTTCAAAGACTTTCTAAGCTTTTTTTCTGCCAGCGGATATGAACTTGGGAAAGCACCCATTTAAATAGTTGCACACCCCACTGAAGGAAAGTGCAGCTTCACGGGCAAATTTCACCCTTAACACCAGCTTTGGAGCACTAAGGCAGATGCAGCAGATGCCCAGGGTAAATGAAAACAAGAGGTAAAAGGATGGGCGCAGGCTGACTCCTTCACGGGGTGGAAACAGTCTGCCGGAAGGTCTACTGCCTGGGACTCGCTTGCCGATGCCTTCGTGCCCAGGGGTCCCCAGGGGTGTAGGCTGCGTGGGGCAGGGCTGTCCGGGCACCCTCTGCCGGGGCCGGCGAGGAAGGAGCCGCGGGCTGCCGGC